ATCTAATTTGATTTAATGTCAGCAATTCAATCAAAAAGTAAACCAATGAAATATCCGTTTATTTTATACCCCCCATATATTCTAAGATTACAGTCTTACGAGCATAAGAACACTCTCTCAACATCGTTGCCAACTCTTGTGTTGTAAATATATCCTTCTGGCCAAGCTAACTTTAAGAAGGTTACCCTCTTGTGTGATAACTAGCTCTCTTCGCTTATCTCAATCTTTAGACTACATCTGCATACTTTTTGTCCTTTGCGAACTTCTGTAAGTATTGAAGATCATCAAATATGGTTTAGTTGTCTTCTGTGATAATAAATTAATCAGCCATTCTTGATTATTAGAACTATTCTAGCAGAATCAGAATCTCAATTAGTTCATCAAGCCAAATCATGCTCTTTGCATAAGTCGTTGTTCTAGACACTTTCCTTTGTGTTACAGTGCTTTCAAACAAGTAATCCTTCACTTCTAAAGGTTTCTGCTCTTTTGATTTTTTATTGCCTTACAACTAATGTTTGATGTACTTCTCTTCCAAAGTAGCTGATACTACTGAGTTCTTCAAGAATTCAATGAATTTATGGTACATATTATAGAAGTTGTGAGCATTGCTGAGATATTCAATAAATAATCCTTTCTTTAAAAATTCTGTAAATGTTAAAATGAGTTATTTAATATAAACATGATCATTTCCTTTAATTTCATAAATTGATTTAGTTTTCCAGAAATTTGAAATGAAGTCAGATAAATACAGCCAAAAATCTACAGTTTTATCACTTTCGACTAAGTATTTCTTTGCTACCTTCTAGTAGACATCAGAAATCTTTTTCTGAGCAAAAGCATAGAGAATGATCTCATACTCTTCTTTTCTAAAGAGTGACAGGAATCCTTTTCCTTTATTCTATTTCACAACCATTTTCAAATATTAAGGGAATTGGGCCATTGGCAAAGGCTTTAAGTGTTTGGCCATATATGAATTTTGAAACAACTCTAAAAAGTATGATTTTGTTAATGAAGAAATGCTATTGTCTTGGATTATTTAGGCTACAGTGTAGAAGGGGAATAAGGTTTTAATTTCCTTAAGAGTCAAGGCTGGGGATGATTTAGAAATTTCTGAAGCCAACCTCACACAAGATATGATATAATCGTGTTGTTGTTATTTGTTTTGGAGATTGACGCCATCTATCATTATTGGGTTAGGGCTTGAATTGTTAGATTCAATAGACTTTCTGATTGTTTTTGAGAAGTCTTGGAGTTTCTCTCTCAACACCGATTGGAAGTTGCCATCAAATATATATTGGGAGAATATGGAATTCTTATTTTGTTTAAAGATATGATCTATAATGCCCTCTATTCCCTCCTTCTTTCTAAATTCAGTGAAGAGACAAAAGGCAATTAACAAATTAAATGCATGTTTGTTGTAGTTTGTAAATTTGGTTTCTTTTGATAATTGAGTGACTTCAAATTCAAAGGAAACCATAACATCTGATTATTAGAATAATTGTGTAATCAAGATGTCGAGTCTCATTAAATCGTTGACTTGTCCTCTAAGCAAGATATGTTTATAGAGACAATACCATTAAACAACATACAAAGAATTATCACTGGAATTCTTGCATACTAATTATAAAAATGAGGAAAGTGCATCTATTAATTAATTGATATCCTATTAAAACAATTCCTCATCTTAGACTTCCTCTTAGATCTCATCTTGTCTAATTTAATCTTTGTCCTCATATAATAACCCATTGATATTCAATTCATAGATGATTTTATTCACATAATCTATGCACCCGATTTCTCTGGCAATGCATTGTCTCCTTACCAAAGGTTCAGAGATTAAATTCTCTTAGGCCAGTGTTTCCTGACTGGCAGTCAACCATAACATAATTTTAATCAGAGACTTAACTGCTTGATTTACATTTTAAACGGTTTGGGCCTGACATCTAAGAAATTAGGATGCTAGATCTTTTTATTCTTTGGAATCTTTAAATTTAAGATCTTTGAATTTGAATTTTAAAGTGGACAATTAGATAGAGTTTTTAGCTAAAGCAATGATAGGAAACATTAAATCCAAGACTTCACTCAATTCTTCAATTTCACTTTGGACTACAACTTCAAATTTGAAATTCGATCCTGAGAATTCCTCAGATGCCAATACATCCATGTATTTAGTATTAAGAGGATTCAAGTTAATGAAAGTAGGTTTAAAAGTTTCATCATCTGACTTATAATGTCGCATATCAACCTTGTTTTTGGCTTGTCTCTTCTTTTCGTACTCTATAAACTCAAGAACTTACTTTTCTTAAGCTGATAATTGATATTTGTTCTTCTTCATAAAAGAATCCAAATCAGGGATCAAAGTCGTCCACTCTTCATGCAATTATCTATACAAGGCTTACTCCACGTTCTCTTCGCCATATTGATTAAACATCCCCAATTTAGTAATTAATTTAACTTGATATCCACCCTCTTCTTAGTTGTCAACTTCAATTGGACTTTTCCCATCCTTTGTGGCAATATTAAAAGTGGTATCATTGGTGAATGGCAATTAATCTTTATAGAATATGGGATTATTGCCTAATTTAGTAACAAAAAGTAATTGATGATCTGCTAAACAAGAATCTTAATCAACTTCTTCCTAATTACTTTAGGTTTATTAGTATTGAGTTGCAAAGCGATCATCTTATTGATTTGGGATGTTATTTTAAACATTGTTATTTTGTTAATTCATCAGATTTCTGTATAATTTAATTCCTGGTAAGTTTTTTTATGTGGTTGATTTTGGTTCAGTTTATTTTACAGCATCTAGCTTTTTAGATGACATAGAATTAATTTGTCTATATTTATTGATAATTTCTTTGGACAATTATAGTTTATTATCAAAAGGATTGACTCTTAAGAACTCACCTGTCAACATGTGTCGAAGCAAAAATGTTGTGTAACCCACCAAATTTGGTTTATTACCAACATTAAATTAAATTTCATCACTGTATTTTTGATCATTCTCTGGCAAGATCTAGAAAATGGATGCTGCCTTTTCGATTAAATCTGCATTCTAGACATCATTTATCTACAGATAAACTTAAGGATAGCATCCAACAGCATTGATTGAGGATGTCAAATACCCTTTATTGATTTAATTTTCCTGAGCGTCCTCTATTTTGATTGACCTTACTCGTGATTCCTATCGTTCCTTCTTTATTTTTTATTACATATGGACTATTCGAACATACTAACCATAGAACAAATGGAGTTTATCTTTGTCTTATTTTAATACTATTGCTTGGAGTGTGTTATGGCTTATGGATTCCTTTGAATCTGTTGCAAATTGTCTGTATTGGGCCTTGTAGAATTTAAATTGGTATTGATTTTCAATCATTGCTGGGATAGTTAGAAATTGATTGTTGTGATCAAGGTTGTGAGATTTCACAACTTCAGGCAATCGATAAATTTCTTGGAGGGTGTCAAATTTTAAGATGGTGTCACTTTAAACAAGGAGAAATTGATCAAAGGAATGGACTGGACATCCTTATTTGATGTCCAATGCCAAGGGATCAGGTTGAACTGTAAAATACATTGAGGAACTCAAAATGGTTCCTATGTTTGAATTTGAATTATTATTTTCTGCTCTTAACAAAAATACTTAACTCAATGGTTGGTAGAGCATTATTGTATCTCCATACATGATTTTTTGTCCCTTAGTTTACTTCAAAAGATTCTGATTATATTTTTTTTCTGTCTCCATTCTCGTATAAAGGAGTTGCTTCTAAAAGTCCAAAGAGGCTCCAAACTACTAGTCGGAATTGTATTTCTTTTGGGCTTCGTACAAAAGTTTGGGAAACACAGTGAACACCATATGTTGAGGGAAATTATACATATTAAAGGTGCAAGAGTTACCTAATTACAACCTAGTCTCCATAAGGTACTGTTCATTTCGAGCAAGTAGATAGTATATCTTGTTGTCTACCATGCATCTAAGAATAATATTGTCTCCGTATTTCAAGATTTATTATTCTTCTTCCATTATATAAATGAATTAATTATAATTTTGTTTTGAAAAGAGAGATTGTTCATCGATTGCTTTTAAGTTCAGGGGGAGACCCTAGCAATCAGAGTGATACCAACAATTACTCAATCTTCAAATTATATCAAATTGTAAGAAGTTATATAAATATTAAGTTAATTTTCTCTAATATCAACTACCCATTATTATTTTCCTTAATTATTTGTTAATCAATTTTTAACCGAAACTCTTTTATAATTCAAGACATTCTAATTAATTTGTCCAGGAACTCATCTTTCATTCCTCTTGTTTCAAATTCCAAATTCTCAAATATCATTGTGTGATGGGTATCGAAATGTAATCCATTTTTTTGCTGAAAAATTTATAATGAGTATGGGGCTTATAAGTATAGTAGATAACTTTTGGTTAATTTTCGACAACTTAATCTGTGTTAAGAATGGTTAATTTTTTATAAGCAATTTTATAAATCTAAATCATTACATATGAATAAGCCGAGATTCTTGTTATAGTTTGCTCTAAAAGAAGCAAAGCATTAAGAAGATAAGAGGATCGAATTAGAAGCCATGAATAATGTTGAAAAAGAAATCTAACAGTTCGAGAACAGTGAGTAAATTGATAAAATAATTAGTGTATGGAAATTGAAGCCTTTAAAGATCATTCAAAAAATAGCCATTTTTATCACTAAAATGAAGCATTATTCACCTATTTATAGATTCAAGATATTGAATAAGAACATTTTTTATTTGATAAGGGATCGGACAAGCTCATTTTAATATTACCTTTATAGTGGACTGTTAGAAAATAAGCCAACAAGAGTATGTGTCATTTTAATAAGAAATAGGTTGGTTAAATGAAGTATGAAGGAAAACTAGCCAATGCATTATGGTGGAGAATATGGTCATTTCTAAAAAGTAATCAAACTGTTTTATTACCTGCGGATAAGTTTCTATTTGTATGGGATGTTATCTTGATGTTTGTAACCATCATGAATATTCTCTATGTTCCATTGTAATTGTCCTTTGATTTGAGCAGAGAAGAAATAGGAAATGCTTACCTATTATTTAGTACTCTTCCAAGTTGCATATTTTTGGTCGAATTAGTCTTGAACTTTTTTAAAGGCTACTATGTTAGAGGAATATTACATACATCTAAACGCGATATTTTTTGGCATTACGTGAAAGGAGAGTTCATTATTGATCTAACAGTTGTGTTGCCCTTCATACTCTCATGGTTCGGCTACTCATTTGCAAATTACCTAATGTTGATACGCATGACGAAGGTAAGAAGGACGATGGTTGTTATAGAGGAGATTTCTAATTTCAAGGAAAAGACAGCTGTAATATATTCTCTATTCTGTTTGATTTATTCTCTTTTGTTGATTTCTCATTTCTGTGCATGTTTATTTCATTACTTTGCAATTCTTGAAGTAGATAACGGTTACACGCACACTTGGCTTCACTAACAAGGAATATACGAAGCAGATGCATATGTAAAATACTTTACTTCATTGTATTGGGTTACCATAACCTCGATGACTGTGGGATATGGAGATATTGTACCTGTGACAACTCCTGAAAAGATCTTAGTCACTTTTCTGACATTTCTAGTGGTTGGAACTTTCGGGTATGCATTAGGAATGATCCAAAGTATCTTCTATAAATTAGCCGAATAATAAAATCTTAATAATGCCAAACTTAGACTTGTAAGCAATCACATAAAATAGAGGGGATTAAATACACAATTACAATTTAGAGTTCGAAAATACATTGAATATTACTTGTAGTTTAAATAGGAGGAAGAGTTGGATTTGGATGAATTAATGGGATAATTGAATCCAAAATTAAAATAGGAGGTTTAAATAGCAATGTATTACAGTTACTTAAAGAAATCTAAATTGTTAGGGTCAAATCTCTCTGATGACATCCTTAAGAAACTTTGCTTTTGCGTTCATGAAAGAACTTATGCCCCTGAAGAATTTATCATAAAGAAGGATGACCATCCTGATAAACTATACATTGTGTTATCGGGAAGAATCAAGTCAGTATTATTAGACAGGACAATTAAAAGATACATAAGTGGGAAGCTGGTTTGCGAAAGGGAGTTCTTCTTTCAGGATTATATGTAGTTTGACATGGTGGCCTAAACCTTTGTTTAGGTAGCCTACATCAATTAAACTGATTTCTTGAATATCCTGTAGAATGACAACGCATAGTATGAAAAGTATAGACTTACTTTGGATCGAACGTAATTTGGAGACAATAACAATCAAATAATCTGTGAGGCATGTTCTAGTCATCATCAATTCAAACATTGTCCTCTAGTCTTCTTTAGAAAAAACAAAAATAAAGTGATCTCAATTTACAATAGCAGTGTCGATCATGAGAGACATACTTTTATTAGATAGAGAAAGAAGACGAGGATCAACTCCTAATTAATTAAGGAGAGAGCCTTGGATCAGATCTTGGAGTAAAACAAAACTCTGGCTGCTGTTGACAGCAAATTTCTCATTAAATTAGGCATTCAAAGAAATGATGAAGATGAATCATCGTATCCTGATTAGACAGTTGTTTAACATTCCTAATAGGGTTCTTTGAATCAGCCAGATCAGAGACTGATAATCAAAGGTAGAGGCATGAGGCAAGTGAGTCATAGAAGCTTACTTGTGCCTTCTGGGAATAATGCCTAAGAGACTCAGGAGGATAATTAGACTTACATATTCAATGCAGAAACTAACGTAGATAAAGTAGAAGAATACGATTATTATTACCCGCATTATAATATCACAAAAGTGATTAAATTGATTAATAATTATAATATATATTCTAGAGTTTTGGAGAAGATACGGGGTCATAAGAATAGATTTGCTCAATACATTGCTAGACAAATTATGTATAAAATTTTATGAATAGACTAAATATTTGTATCATAAATAATATATTCGATTTTAATTTATATTTTTATAAAGAAGATATTAATTATTTATAAATAAAATTGAAATCAAAGGATGGATTGTGAATAAAATGATAATATAATTCTACTGGAAGAAAAATATGAGATCGATAGAAACAAGTAAATCGGAAGAGGAAGTTATGGGGTTGTATATGAATGCCGAGATAGAACAAAACCAAATTCTGATCAAAAGTTATGTGCAAAGGTAATAGAATTTGAGATTATTATTTTTCAGATTACCTAAATCCTTCAACATGATAAAAAGTAAAGTAGGGAATTTGAAGTAATGTCCAAAATAAAAACTGTGGCAATAGGAAATCCAAATATTATTTAAGTGATAGATGTATTGGTGCATGAAGAAAAAATTGTCATAATCTAAGAAAGATGTTAATGTGATCTAGAATGTTTAATCAAATAAAAAAGGAAAGATAAAAAAAGATTCACTCCTAAAGAAGCATTAGAAATCATTAAATAACTAAGCTATGGATATAAAGTACTCATTGCTGAAAATATCATTCATCGAGATTTAAAACCAGGAAATATCCTTTTTTTAAATGATACTTATAAAGTATTATATCCATAATCTCAAGATTGCTGACTTCGGTTTTGCAAGAGAAGCTCACCCATATGGAGATCATACAAAATTAGGAACTCCAGGATATTATTCTCCTTAAGTCGTCTGGTCTTCTTCCTATACTAACTAAGCTGATATCTTCTCTGTAACATTAATTTTGATCTTAATAGTTGGGGGTTATTTTTTACAAATTAATCTTCGATAATATACCCTTCTAAGTTGGTGATGATAAAATTATTAAGAATTCATTATTCAATCTAAAAAACAATCCCATTAGAGTTAGCAGAGACTTACCCGAAGTATTATAATTCTTATTTACTCTTAGTTTTAAGCTGATGATTCTATCCCTGAGTTGATTGAAAGAATGCTTTTGTATTATGAGGAAGATAGAATTAGTTGGAGCCAATTTTTTCAACATAAATTAATCGTTTAATCTTATGCCAGCCAACCAACTAATTTTCCTTAAAGAATGTTAACCCCAGATACTGATATTGAACAAGAACCCGTAAAAGAGAAAACCAGTTCTATAAAGCACAATATACAAGTATTTGATAATGCCAAATTTTTACCATAAATTTCAAAATCAATTTAAGAAGCTTGTGAACAAAATGTTTTTTAAGCTCCTAATCTCTTTTAGAGTTAATAATAGTAATATACAATTATGTTATGTTAACATTACGAAATAGGAATTCTTATTGCTTACGTTGAATATGAGGTCTATTAAAATAAGTATAATTAATATCTTAAAATTTAGGAATTATTTAATTTCAATAACTCATTACTAGTACCTCTTTTTAAGAAGAATACTATGCAATTTGGCTTTTATCTTTCTTAATAGTGCTAAAAATGGATAATTGCCTTTCATAAATTTCAAATAAGAATGCGAAAAATTCTTTACTGCTTAACAGGTAGTTGTTATTTTCAATTTTAAGACTTTAAAAAAGGAATTTCAAGCTAATAAATTACCTTACAATGATGAAAAACTGGATATTCAGAATTAGGATAAATTTATTGAGGACTTAAAACAGTTTATGAAATAACCTGGACTGAAATATAACAGTAAGAATATCTACTATTTTCGATATCAAAGGTATATATAATCGATAGATTGTTAGGCTAATATATTCATTACATAAGTTAGCAGAAGCAAGCGACAAAACCTTATATTAGATTGTTTTGGAAATTAAGTAAAAGCATGACAATTTAGGTTTAGTAATTAATTATTTGAATTAAATTTATTAATGATAAAAATATTACAATTCATAATACGTTTTATAAACTAATTTTGTATCCCTTAAAAATTAAATAAATAGCTCCAAAAACAAGTATTGTAATTGTAACCTATAATAGGTTTGACTTCTTCTTATACTGCATTATTTTTCTCGCCTGATTGAGTTAATTTAAATCGAAATCTTTCTAGTTCTTATCGTGAAATCCTAATTTGATATGGAATATTTAATCTAAGAAATCACAACAGTTCTATAAATTGATTTTATCAATACATTAAAAAATTGAATTGAGTTTTGCTAAACAATATTTTTCATCTGGAAATTCTTGTTCCTTATAATTATTCATCCTCTTGTAATACAGTTGTTTTATTTTTTGAAGATTTAGTATAAAATCCGAATCTTCAATTATTTATTGTCTACTCTCTTCTATATCGCTTATAAACTAATTCAATAAAAACATTGCATTTTTTTGTTTAATCATGCATCTAACAAAACATCCTTTTCTTCTGATTCCATAAAATTTGGATTAATATCCATTAATCATGGTAAAATATAAATTTAAATATTATGGAAATTCTTATATCTTAACCCTAGCAGATACTTAGAGAGAATGGGTTAGATTATTTGTATGTAGTTGTCGTCTCAATTCAAGTGACAATCTTTGTTATTCTATTTTTTTATCGATACTTAACTATTCATTTTCAATAATCATGGTTGTAAATGCAATCAATTTATTTTATTACTATATTTATTGTTATTTTTGGCTTAAAAATTTAAAGTCTATTTAATGTTCTCCAGAAATAATCAAACAAATAGTGAAATTTTTGACACCTGATTAATCTTCCTCTATAATTCTAAGAATCTATAAAATAGCTTAATTTAATGGTAGTTGCTAACTTCTAACACTCAACTCTGGGTTCTCTTAAATAGTATCTGCCCACCAAAAAGTTTATGTATTGTCTTACACTTATTGATTATAAACAGTTTATTTGGCTTTCAATATTTCCTCTTGTAACGATTTTTATAGTGTAAAAGAATCAACCAATATGATCAATTTAGAATTAAAGTTAATTTCATAGGTATTTATTTTATTTTACTATTTAATTTATACTTCCTACTCTATTTCAACTTGTTACATAGGTTACACGCTATTCAGTATTTATTCAATTTTTATCTCTCTATATTGAGTTTGAAAATTTTTATCAATGCATAGCTGTGGATTTTTTTCGAGATTTGCTTATAATTGTGCATATCTATTTTCATTATCTTTTATAGAAGCTAAATAATCAGTGTATGCACACTAATCTATAATCTTATTAATTAAATCAAGTTTTGGATTATCAGCAATTTCTTATAAATCTGCTTAAGGATTCATTTATTAATTTGTCTTAATAAATAGTTTTTGACTTTATTTTGATATATCAAGCAGCTTCTAAAATTCTGCTTTGCCTTCCTGAATTTTATCATTAGCTTACAAATGTATCAATAGTTATTAAACACTTCCTTACTAAATTTAAATTAAATCTTCAACGTTTGAAGAGGATTAGATTATTTCATTTTTTGTTGTTTAAACATTGGGATTAGGAGATAGAAATAGTTAATTGCATCGAACAATTTTAGTTTTTTGATCTTGAATATCTAAGAATGAAGTATATACTATTTCATTCAATTCAATTTATTCAGTAAATACAATCAATTATCTTTTGAGACCCTCTAATGCATCTGTAAACTATTGAGTCAATTTTTATTATTGCTCTGGTTATATTGCTATATTGTCATTATCATCTAAATATATAGTTAAATCACTCTGATCCATAACTTCGTAGATAGATGGAAAATCTAAATTTCCGTTGTTGTGCAATCTTTCTCTAAACTTATTGCTTATCGACGTCGGGAAATTTTTTCCGACTGCAATGCTAGCAAATTAGATTTTGAAAGTTGAAGTTATTTGGTCAACCAATGGAAGAAACTCTTCATAAACAAAGTGTTCAACTCCATCTGAGATGAAACAGATGGTCAGATATTTTTTATCCTTGTGTTAAGTAAGTAGAATGTCAAATAATTGTTTAAAAACTTTATTGAAATTGCTCTAATGATGATCTTAGAATTTATTGATATCATAAAGAACAACATCGGATCCTTCTTTTTGGTTTCCAAATTGAAAGGCCAATTTATGTTTGATACTACTGCATACATTATGATAGCATTTCAAAAATATGGGATAATGTGCATTCATAGAGGTTGTTCCATCTACCAGCAAAACAAAAAATGACTCTTAAGAATTTGATTTGGTTGCTCTAAATGGATACATCTATTTTATTATTAAAACATTTTCTTTCTTTTTTATGATTTATTCACAATTTTTTTGAATTCTATTATGCTAAAGTATATATATATTTAGATATATTATAGAAATAATAGAATTTTGTAGTAAATTAATTTCTAAATTAAACAATTAATTTTATGAAAAACATAAAATAACTTAATAGTTAATTAGACAAATAAGAATATAGGGCAAACAGAAATGATACGTAAATTAACAAGATTTTGATATAGTTATTATATATATATAATGAATATTCTATGTAATTATATGACAACTATTTGTTACAATTCCAATCTTTAAAATTGATTGGGATATCACACTTAATTGTATTTAGTAATTTATGAGCACATTTTTTTTTTTCCAAATTACATATTATGAGAATTAATTAATTTTATTTAAGAAATTCCTTTTAATTAAGACAATTAAAGTGAAGAAATGCTTACATTTGATAAAAGATTGAATAATTTTGGTTCAATTCAAAGGGAATGACCAGGAATATTTGTATGGATTTGAAAATGTATATAAAAAGGAGTTTTTTTAATTAATTTCTAGAAAGTGTGATAACACACGTGTTTTTGGATATATATTATTTAAGGTATGGTGAATGCAAATCAATAAATATTTTTAATGAATAGTAAATAGAAGGCCTTTGCCTTGCTGTTGCTCTTTATGCTCTCAGGAGTATAAGTGATGACATAGGATTTGACTGATGAATAAAAAAAGTTATTAGAACAATCCTAAGAAACCCATGAATTCTAAGCTGAAACAGGTAGATTGATGGACATTCTTATCAATTCTCTCTATACTCAAAAGGAAATCTTTCTTAGAGAATTAATCTCAAATGCTGCCGATGCCCTTGATAAACTTCGTTTCTTAAGTGTTAGAAATCCAGAGATTTTGGGAGACAAGACAGAATTAGCAATAAGAATTGAAATAAATACAGAAGAGAAGTCAGTTTCAGTAACAGACAGTGGTATTGGTATGACTAAGAATGACCTAATTTCCAATTTGGGTACAATAGCAAAATCAGGAACAACTCAATTCATCGAGGCAATCAAAGGTGGAAATGTAAATTTGATTGGTCAATTTGGTGTTGGTTTCTATTCATGCTTCTTGGCAGGACAGAAGGTTACTGTTGCATCAAAGAACTCAGATGATGATTAATACATTTGGGAATCTCAAGCAGCTCATTCATTTGCTGTATCTAAAGATCCAAGAGGAAACACTTTGGGTCGTGGTACTTAAGTCACTATTCATTTGAAATAAGATGCAGTAGAATTTGCTGAAGAATCTACAATTAGAGAGTTGATCAAAAAGTACTCTGAATTTATCAATTTCCCAATTTACTTGAAGGTGACAAGAGAAGTTTCAAAGTAAGTAGAGGAGGAATCAGAATAATAATAAGATCAATAAGATCAATAGGATTAAACTGATGATGATGAAGTCAAAGTTAAAGATGATGATGATGATGATGCAGATACAAAGAAAAAGGCAACTAAAACAATTAAAGAGAAGGTGTCTGAGTGGGTGTAAGTAAATGAAAACAAAGCTATTTGGTTGAGACCAAAGGAAGAGATATCAGATGATGATTATAAGAAATTCTATAAAGTCTTGTCTAAAAATTCAGGTGAAGATCCATTCAACTGGGTTCATTTCAAAGCTGAAGGTGAAGTTGAATTCACATCTCTTATTTATGTTCCAAAGAGAGCACCCAGTGATATGTTCGATAATTATTATGGAAAATAAACTACAAACTTGAAATTGTATGTCAGAAGAGTTTTGATCAGTGAAGAATTCGAAGATATTCTTCCAAGATATTTAAGTTTTGTTAAAGGTGTTATTGATTCTGATGAATTACCCTTAAATGTCAATAGAGAAACACTTCAATAACTTAAGATGTTGAAGGTCATCAGTAGAAAGATTGTTAAGAAGATCTTGGAATTATTCTAAGATGCTGCCTCATATGATGATGAAGATGAGGAAGATACTGAAGAAGGTGAAGAGGATGATAACATGGCTGAAACTACTCCAGAAGAATAATAAAGATTGAAGGATGAGAAGAGAAAGAAGAAGATCGATGAATACAATGAATTCTGGAAAGAGTATGGAAAAAATATCAAATTGGGTGTCATTGAAGATTCATCAAACAGATAGAAATTGGCTGAATTAACAAGGTATCATTATTATTATTACTATTATATGAAGTATGTTATGCAATGATGACAAATTAATATGGATAATAAATGGAATTATTTCTATTTATTAAGTGATCATATAAACAGTCGTCTGATCTAACATAACATATTTCTAATCCAACATTATCCATATATTAAATATTATACCTAATATTTTATTTTAGGTGGTATTCAAGCAAGAATGCAACTGAATTAACTTCATTTGATGACTATATTGAAAGATCAAAACCAGGATAAGACTCTATCTATTATTTGGCAGGTGAAAATAAGGAATAATTGTTGTCATCTCCAATCATTCAAGGCTTAATCAAGAAAGGATATGAAGTCTTATTGTTAGAAGATCCAGTTGATGAATTCACATTCTAACACTTGAATGAATATAAACAAAAGAAACTCACTAATGTTGGCAAAGGTGACTTCAAATAACCAGAAGATAATGATGAACAAAGAAAGAAATAAAAGGCTTTGAAGAAAGTGTTCTAACCCTTGACTGACTGGTGGAGAAAGTTATTATCAGAAAACGTTGATTCAGTCGTCATTTCATAAAGATTGATTGAGGATCCCATCATTGTTGTTTCCTCAGAATCAGGATATTCAGCTAATATGGAAAGAATATCAAAGGCTTAGGCTTATTCAAGCAAGGGAAGCAATTCTTAGCAATTTGGTAAGAAGATTGTTGAAATCAATCCAAATCATTAAGCCATATAAGAATTGTTACAGAGAGTTAAAGATGATCCTGATTAGGAAACTGAAGAAATGGCTAAAGTTCTCTATGAGGCTGCTTTGGTCAATTCAGGTAATTTATTTCATTGATTGTAATCTAGGCTATTCAATCCCAAGTCCAGAAAAGTTTGCTAGTAGATTCTATAAATTATTCAATTCAGCCTTGGGTATTGACAGAGATGCACCAATTAAGGAATTCGAAGTTGAAATCGAAGAGGAACCTGAGGCATCATCTGAACCACACATCGATTAAGATGGAACTAAATGGGAAAAAGTAAATACAGATGACGCAAAATGGGAAACTGTAAGTGATGATAAAAGAGATGATTTATGATTCATTTATACGTTTGTATTGTAAATTTTTTATCTTATTTATTTTCAATTCATTTATAATCTGGAGGGTTATTTATATTATTCTCTTAGGATATTTTATAATTCTAATTTATTTAATTATTAACAGTAATAATTTTGAAATAAAAATGAGCTCAAACTCTGATTAGTAATCATGTTTTCTAATTCCTTAGTCAATTCCTTTTCAAAGTATTATTAA